AACAAAAAAGCAATAAAAAGTTTCTATAACAATACGAAAAAAAACAACACTAACAATAGTGCACCAAAAAAGACGCTAATATCTTTAGAATAAATGAGCCTGTTTTATTATGTTTTGTGTGACCAACCTTGGTGGTCAGAAAGACTTGTTTGAACAACTGTCTCTCTATAGTGCAACTGTATTTGAACGGTAATCTTTTGAATCTTGTATTGTTATTGGATGTGACTGGTACAATAGAAAACAATCTGTGTCGAAGAGACGACAATGGTTGGGGTTTACAACAGTTGAAATTTCATTAAAATTTTGTTTTGGGTTGTTGTGAAGGTTTTGGCACAGTGTCAACATTTGCCAAGAACGTTTTTATCATTTGGGACCGTGCATATCGTATATATTTGTGATTCGTCATACTTGAATATAAAATGACGTAATAAAATATTTGTGGACCCTGAACTACTCGACTGTGTATTGCTGTAAAATATTTTATTTTAGCTTCAATTTATTTTCATTGAAATGACATTTTGGATGTTTACATGTATTCTGACATTTATTTTCATTAAAAAGACATTTTGGATGTTTACATGTATTCTGACATTTATTTTCACTGAATTTTGACGAGTTAAACACACAGGAGAACAAATATATTCATTGGATTGGATTTTCATTGAATCACTCCTTTCATGGAAATTAATTCCAAGGCACAATAAAGTATTTTGCAGTGTTTTAATTATGTGTATATTCTTAAATTCTAAATGATTTATTATAGTATTTGTACTTGATATTTTGTTTTTTATTATACATATTATTTGTGTTATTTTAACTTTCGCTACACGGACTTTCGTGATTACTGAAACTTGAAAAAAACTACTACCAAATAAATTACTAGTGAAATAACATAATGGTAAAAAAAAGTTCAAACTGGATACTCATTCAGATTGAGATAACCCTGATATAACAATTTTACACTCTCCTGACATTACAACAATATGAAATAGACGAGCTTTGCGCTTGTCCTTTATTTGGCTCCACCGGCGGACCTCGAAAATCCTGTGTCAGCTCTTTAGATCAGCGTGGACAATAAAGACGAAAGTGTACTTATTCGTCTGTAGAGGGCGCCCCTGTATAACTACTAGCATGTTAAATCATTCGGGTCCGTGATTCATAACTGTTGTATCAAAAATATCTTTTTAGCAATCAGACTTGGTCGTGTGGTATCTCTTTACTTGTGAACAGCTGTAATTTTTCAATAGAGTAATTTTCACAAATTTCGAAAACCAGTGAAAATAACCAAATTTTGTAGCTGTGATTATTTCTCTGCT